AAATTGTATTTAGAAGATGAACAAAGAAAGGTGTATGCTAAAAATCATTTAACAATAAATGGAAATAAAACGAAATTGTTAAAAGAAAAAAATGAAAATTGTTAAGGGTGCACACGAGAGGATCATGTAAACTTCAGAATTTAGAACCTTATTTTTAGGCATTATCTTGGCTACCTATTTAGGCTCGAAAAGCAAAAAAATATCAAAAAATACAACTTGACTCCATTATGACCCTTTCATGGAGGTAGTTTTTATCCGCTAGTATTTTCCCTTTGAATCTCTTTACAATTCGAAATCAAATTCAAAACTCAGTAGAAGAAAGGAAGAATCGACTTACTACGGTTGTAATACGAATAAATACATATATTTAATTATTTTTATTTACATAATAATTGTTTGAAGCTCATATTCCAACAAATTTTTAAATAAAAACATTAAAATGTTGAAAATGTTCATATATTTTAATAGGTTTTTGGCACTTTATTGAGGAATTACTACATACATAGTCGAACTGAACTTGATATTTTGAAATTTAAATTATTTATCAAAATTAAAATTTAACTTGAAATTTATAATTATTTAGTCATATTTTGCATAATTCTAAGTAGATTTTGTAAAAAATCAAGAAAGAAAAATTTTAACGTGCTTTATTTTTTCTTTTTTATAATAATACATATTATTATATAATTAACATATTCATAATGTTTCACCCTTTCAAAAATATAATCCTCCTCCTCTCAAATAAACGTACATATGGGTGGCCTCTTTTTTCAAAAAATTAAAATTTGAAATTTTGGGCTCAAATATTAGAGATTTTTTCAACCTTCAACGATATATGTTGTCTATATCTAGTCATGTGATTTTATCCCAAGCATATGGGGATTCTAAATTTTTGTCCCTATCGTTATCCCAATTGAATTTTTTTTTGGAATTTAAAAATTTTTTTTCTCCATGTAAACTTAAATTTTAATTTTTACCACTAAAATGCAATATTTCAACAAATTAATGAGTAATAATATTTTAATTTATAATAAATATTATAAATCTCCTCAATTTAATGTAATTATTGTATTAATTTTTGTTGAAAATATAAAATCTTCAAGTAAATGATGTGAATTTAATATTTTTAGAATGTTGTTTAATTGTACTATATTATGCATGTAAAATTTTGTTACAATACATTTTATATGGGATCCCCATTGCCCAATTGAGAGAAAATTGAGAGGTGGGATTGGGCTAGCCCAATTCAAAATATCCCAGGTGGAAATAAAAAAATTAACAATTCAACATAAAAAAGCATCTTAAATAATAATGATAAAAAGAAATTTTGTATGAATTTCAATCAAATTTGTTTTTATTCAACTTAAGAAATCACTTCATTAATGAAAGAAGTCGGGTTCACAACATATCCCGATCTTGAAACGAAACAACATGTTTTTTTGATGCCCTAAACGGGGGGGGTCGCCAGCAAAAAAAAAAGATGTCAAAATTTATCCCAAAAATTTAAAAAAAATCGAAGAAAGTGCATCCCAGGGATTATAAAATTTAAGTTTTCACATCTCTACTATATCAGACCTCCTTTCTTTTTGATACTTAACATTGTTCCTAAATCTTAGCCGTTAAGGCTGTTCTGAAAATATTTTTTTTCGAAAAAATTCGAAAAAAATTCTTAAAATTCAAAAATCCCTTAATTCCTGAGGATTTTGGAAAAAAGTTTTTACATGAACATGTGTATATTATATGAAGTATATTGATAAGGTAAAAATCAAATTTTATTGCATATTCATCGAGAAAATAAACTAACGAATCCCTCAAAATTGAGAGGGTAATCCTCCTCCTCTCAAATAAACGTACATACGGGTGCACCCTTAAATAATATATTATTTTTTAGTCATAAGAATAAAAATATAGTAGTTATAAAAGGAATTAGACTTCATATATTAATTCTTTTTCTCTGTAGATGTGGAACGTTTGCTTTTCGATCTCTTTCGATGAACTTGAAAATATAAGTTATTATCGCTGAGAATCCTTTCCGAAATAGGAGCTTTACGTTTAGGAGGATTGTCGGATGAATTTTGTTTTTTATTGTTTGATTTTGTTGTTATGGAAGATTTTTTCTTATTTTTTTCAGAATTTTGCTTGCTATTAACTGAAACTTGTTTTGACGGCCCAACAATAGCATTTGTAGTAGGAAGAATTCCCAATAACGAGCGCATTTTCGATAATTGTTTTTCAATATGATCAAGAAGGTCCAGCTTATGTTCTAGATTACTAGACATTTGATTTGTAGAAGGATAGTTTTGATTTTCTGGTTCTAAATCTGTAGAGTCTGCAATATTTGAATTTTCGGAGCGAATTGGAGCATCTGAACCTTGATTTGTATCGGCTTGCTCAAAATTAGTTTGAATTGGAGTGGATGAATTAAAATCTGGATGATTTAATGTTTCATTAAATAATGCCATAATTTTTTCTCTTTTTTCATTAATAAACTTAGTGATCATTGTATCTTTATCTGTTAGATTGATCGATTTGAGTATATCTGCATCATGAACTGGAATATTTTCGAACAATGAACTCGATTCTATGGAACCATATGGAGAAATCTCGTTCTGAGCCAAAGAAAGATCACTTACGTTGTATTGTTTGATAGAAAAAATTGTTTTCTCAAGTTCTTTTTGAAAGCAGTCAAGAATATAATTTTTGTAGCTATCAGTGATAACGGTTTTTATATGGCGCTCGATCTTCTGGTTATTTTTGATGGCGTTATATTTATCTAATTGGATTTGAGATATCTTCTTAATAGCTTCATAAATGTTTGGATGTTTTAACGAAGAAAATTCTGAATGCATACTCTCGAGGCAATCATTAGTGAATATTGCAGTTGCATTATTATATTGAGATATTAAATTGTAGTGCGGCAACCAAACTTTGTTGAAATAATCAATATAATCTTTGATCGAATCAACTTTATTTTGATTAATTATATGCATTGTAAGTACAAATTCTTCATGAGACATGAATGGAGTAATAGAATATAGCTTAAATAAAGAAGTTTGTAAAGTATTGAAATTTTTTGTATAAAATGCTACAAGTTTCCTGTGTAAAGCTTGTTTGAAATGAAATAGGCATCCAATTATACGGACTTTAGGGAAAATTTGTTGAAGTGCCTCTATCATTCCCTTTTCAAAATCACAATGAATTTGAATTAGCTTTGAAAATTGAATACCCTTGACAGTAAAAATATATTCAAATGCCTTCTTATAAGATTCAAATGTGCGGTTTTTCATGAATATAAATAAAAGTGGTAGATATTGATTTGTTGAAGGTTCACAAATCATAATTGTTAGCATCTGTCCTTTTTGAAAATGTTTTGGTGTAATTTTAAAAGTTCCATCGCAAAATAAATCTGTGGCTTCTTTTGCAAATTGAATTGCCTTCTCAAAACCAAAAAACATCGTCTCACAATTTGCTTGAAAATCATGGCCAATGAAAAACTGCTCGCCATTTATTAAACAAAAATTAGTAATTTCATCGTCTGTAATTTTTTCTCCAACAGAAAATTTAGTTAGTATACATATCATGTGTACGGAGGCACTGCGCGCCTCCTTACCCATTATATGTGAATTTGACACTTTACGAAACCGTTAACGTATATTTTACAACACGAACGACAACACTAACTTAGCCTTAAATATTTATAAAGCCACCAACCACTTCACCTCACTAACGTTTTCACAAACGACTTCACTACTGTAAAAAATAAACGTTCTCACTTACAAAAGTATTGCAACTCCTCCCATTGCTGTGCTTCACATAACAGCTCATAATCTTCTGACTCACTTTCTTCTTCATATAGGTCAAAGTCACTGTCAAAATAAATGTTAGTAAGTTTTGACAAAGCTAATGAAACACGTTTACCGTTTGTATCGTATGCTTGTATAAACTTTCCATTCTTCATTCCTTCATAAACGCTCAAACTAACTTTACCCTTTCTCCCTCGTATCTGATAGAATGTATTTTCACGAGGAACGAAGAACATATTCTTGAACTCATGATCGTTGTAGTTTGTTATCTCAATAGTTTTCGTCATTACATCCAAAATAAAATAAAAAATAATTTTAAAAAATAAACTTAAAAATTAATGATATCACCACTCCCACACGTATGAAAACATAGCACAAAAATAAATTTAGGTGAAGTGGTGAGATCTCACCTCTTTTTTCACCTCTTTTCTCACCCTGTTGAATTCATTGCTTTATAACTCTCTTCCTTGGTTTCTTTTTAGTTGCTTTCTTCACGTCTGTCTCCAACTTGACTGTCTTTCTTCTTCGTCCATAATGATACCAATTACTTCCACCAGTCAATGGGTCAAATGGTCGTTCATAAGGGTTTCCATACATTCCATAAGGTCCGTATGGAAGAACTACTAGTGGAGAAGAAACATTTTCTTTAGTTCCATCGACTCTATTTAAATGTATTGTTTCACCTTTCATCTGGTCATTAAAGTCTTTTGCGTGTTTTGCAAACTCATCGTCCTTTCCTAAAGCATTTTCTGACTCAGTCGCAACCAAATTGGATGCTTTATTTATGAGCCCTATTTTATTTAATCTTAACTTCTTTGCAACCCAGCCTCCAATCTTTCCTTTATTTGCATCTAATGTCTTCGAAACCCTTCCTCCACTCATTTTATTTACTGCGTCATAAGCTCCAAGTGCTTTTACTCCAAATGCTAATGCTTTTGTTCCCATTGCGCCTAAAGCTGCCCAATCTACCATTTACACCATATTAAAATCATCTCTCTTCAATATTATCTCATAAAAGTTCTCATTACTGGAGAAAGTCAATGAAACATAAGCGTTCTCACGGGCTTCGCCCTCACCGCTTTGCGGTCTATCTAACTTCTTTCTTATCTCATCTATACGCTTCAAAATGTCTGAACAATTGCTAACATCTTCTACAACAGTTATTTCATCATGAATGACCTTCAAGAACAAGCTCATTTAATATGCTATTAAAATCATCTCAATAATGAGTCCATCCTTTCCGTCTTTGGGTAGCACAACATCTTTCATTGAAGAAGGTTCGACAAGTCTTATGTTAAACTTACTGACAAAGTTTGTTATACTATAATGCTTCGGCGGCGAATACATATAGTTTGAAAGACATAATATAGATTCTTCAGCAAATTCACTTATACTGGATTTTATAACAATGTTCTCACGAGACCAAATACCACCAATTGACAATCTTGTAAGCAATCCTGCTGAACCTTCTACTGTAAACGTCGATGGTAACATTCCACGAAGGTCATCTATTGACATTGTTGAGTCACTGAATTTAAAGATTTTCTTAAAGCAATCGTCATTATCTAACCATGCAATAGCTTTGAAGTTTTCATTCGAATATACATCTGCTTCATTAAATGTAAAACCTGACTTCTTTGCAGAGACGACTTTAAAATCTATTGAGTTTGTTTCAAAATTATATGCTATGGTAACTTCTGAAGGTAATGGATGCCCTTCCGCAGTAAGTTGTTCTCTCACTACCGTTTGAAGCTTTGTATTAAAAACTTTCATGTCATCTCCTGTATCTAAGTTCACATACACAGCAACAGGGAAACTATCTTGCTTCTTTGTTTCATCATTATATCTCAAAACATTAAAGTTCTTCAATAATATTGTTCTTCCTGCTGGAATACTTCGAACCTGTCTGATTTCAATAGCTTTCTCACCTCCTACATACTCTACCCAGTGTCTTGGATATTCATAAGTATACTGACTTTCTTGAATTTTGGTTGGTTTCATCATAACATGTTCATAGTATATCTTTATACTCTTGTCAGTTAGACTCGGTGCTATGTTCTGAATATTTCTGACTTGCATTTTTAATGGAGATAAAATGAAGCATTTAATACATGACGTAGATGAAGACATGAATGAAACTACAGACAAACTTAACTCTTCTCTTATTCTTCCTTTCAGCAAAGATTATGAATTCTGTTCAAATGGCGTTTATTTCTATTGTGGAAAGATGGGTTCAGGTAAGACATTTAACCTCATTCGTCATATACTCATAACAGAGCGTTTAGGAAATGACTCATATTATGACCAAATCATTATATCAGCAACTTCAGACTCTATGGATTCAACAGCGAAAACATTTATGTCAAAAGTTCAAGCCTCTGTCGTTAAAGTTCCAGACAGTGAACTCATTGAATTTCTTCAACGTTACATTCGACGTAAGAGGAAATATTATGCCATCGTAGAGTTCATACAGTCAGGAATGCAAAAGACTTCTGAGGAGATGGAAAGAATTATTGACAAACACCACTTACGTCAATACTCAGGAGTTTACAATATGAAACGACTTACAAACTACATTCTGTCAAAACTTTCAAAATACCCCTTCAAAAAATATCCTTCAAACACTCTGCTCGTTTGCGACGACTTCGCCGGAAAAGGTTTAGTTTCAAAGCCTGACTCACCATTAGCTAACATCATTACTAAAGTCAGACATTACCATTTAACTGTAGCAATACTTATGCAAACATGGAGGTTTTTAGCTTTAAACATAAAACGTCTCATAACTGACTTCGTTATCTTTCAAGGTTTCTCACGCTATGATATTGAACTCATTTGGAAACAGTCAGGTATAACATTACCTTTTGAAGAAATTTGGGAAGCATATAAGTCTCTCATCTCTCCTCGTTCATACCTTGAGATTCATATCATGACTAATACCATTAAAGTCAAAAATATTCCATGGGAACGACCAACATTGTTTTAAAGTTTAACCTTCAATTGACTGATGGTAAACAAATTCCATGCATCTCTGTCGCCATTTCTGTTAATATTTTTGCTGTCATTCATATCATCCACTTCCCCATCCGTTAGCTTTTGAGGATATGCGTTAGAATAGCTGTTCTTAAATGAAGGCTTTTCACCTTTGAGAGCATAAACTCTATAACTTTCTGCATACTTTATGTTTGAACCTCCTGAGCCATCATTGACATAAATTTTTATAGGCTTCCACTCTTTGTTCATGTTCCTGCTTCTTCCCTTAGCTCTTTTGTTCAGTAGTTCTACATCTTTATACACAGCTCCTGTCTCAGTGAATTCAACAATATTTTCATTCGTTAGCTTTACATTCAAACCCTTGTCGAGTATATTGTTCATTTCATACATATAAAAGGTTTTTATTCTATATGAAATGAGAAGCAAATCCATCTTAGCTGGTGCCGTTAATGTTCCAATTGAACCAACATCAAATGTTGACTCACGAACGACAAACAATATTGTCATAAAGAACTATAGTTCGGAGTGTTTGAAAGAAAAAGAACCAGAACTTAAGTCGGTGAATTTAAACTTAGCTTCAAACGCTAACGCTACATCAGATGTTAAGTTAGAGTATCCACCACTGGACCAAATTCTTTCAAGAGAAGCCAACGACAACCCTTACACAAATGTTCAAACAAATCCTTCAGATAACGTAGACCATTACTTTCTTCAGTTATACCAAACAATTTTACTCAAAGACGATAAGAAGCTTTTGACAAATCTTATAAGCAAGAACCAAATAATTCTAACAAAGGAGGACCTTGAAAATGTTATATCACGAATAACAGGGAAACAATGTGTCATTGACTATCTCGACCCTGAAATCGAATGCTGTGGTCAAACTCCACTATTCATGAAAATAGGTAACATCCGCATCATTGAAACACCAGGAACTACAGGAGTTGAGTTTAAATATAAATATTCGAATGAATATACAAAACTTTCAACAGAATATAAGCTTTGTTTGAAATATGTTTTAGTAAATTAAAGCAGTCAGTCAAAAAAAATTTCAAGTTAGCAATTTGTAATATCTGTCCAAAACTTCTTCAACAGTATCGAACTCATCTTCATAATGCAAACCTAATCTTATTGACTTGGTGCAGTTTTCACTAACACAATATTTTTCTGTTCTCTTGACTGACATAACTAACTCATTTGTTTCATCAAACAGCAACAACCAAAGTTCATGACCTAATACATAACATTCATACTTTATATTTTTAGCTCTGAGTTCTCTTGTAAGCTGTTGCATTTAATATTTTCTAAAAAGTCAACTTCAACAGTCATTCGCACTGGTGCCTTCAGTTCTACAGGCTCTCCTTGAAAGTCAACAAGTCTGAATTGCATGTCTTTCAAATTATGAGGACTAATGCGAACCCATTTACCTAAATGAGTTGCTATGACAGGAATGTTTGGAATGAACATTGAATTGACTGCATAACAGAAGGATTTATATTCTACTGAACCTTTACTATTAACTCCTGAAATGCCTGTGACATTAGCTATTTTTGACTCAATGTACAAACAATTGCCATAACATACATATGGAACAGATTTCATCTCAATCGTTTTGTCAACACTTTTCAAAGGAAATGTCATATGGTATGCTCCCAGAAGCAATTGAACTCTATGACTCATTCGTGTTATCTTAAACTCCTTCACATAACTGAACTTCAATGTTCCCTCAGAAGAGAGTTCGACATCTATGTTGTCAATAGTTTCTTCATTTATGAGAGTATCTATGACTCCAGCAATTTTATCTATTCTATACCCAGCTCTGTTAGGAAATGTTATAACACTTATTTTGTCATCTATTTCAATCTCTATGAAATCTGTTTCATCTGTTATGACAAAAGTTGCGATAGTATTGAAGTCAACAACTCTGAAAGCAAGCGCTTCATTCTGAAGACCTAAGTTTGTTTGTAGCTTTACTGTCCCGTATTCGTTTGGGTCTGTACTTTGCAAATAGAACAACATTTTATTCTCATTAAAATATGACTATTGCTGCATATGCGTATGAAACAAATGAAGCAAGAAGAGCACATGAACTAGTAAACGAAAACTCAACTTTAACCATTGAAGGCAATGATTTAGTCATTGACGATGGAAAAACTAAAAAAGTCATTGATTTCGATACTTTTAACACTTATGACCCATTCATTACAACAAGCAAAGTTCCTATCATAAATGATGGAACGGTGCAATATATAAATTCTACAGTAGATGCCTCATTAGTGAAAGTATTAAATGTTCTCATTGAATTGTTAAAGAGCTTTCGATTTGACGACAACATTAAATGCCTAAAGAATTTAGTCATGAATGAGAAACAAATTCTCGGCGTTGCTGGTAGCAGTAATGATGTACACCTTATGACATTAGAATATTATAACGAACATAAAGATGAACTGAAAGGAGAGAAGGGTGACACCGGACCTCAAGGCGAAAACGGTTTGGATGGTGAAGATGGAAAGGATGGAAAAACTGCTAAATCATGGATATGGAACCTTATAAATACTGGTTTAACAGCTGCTTCATATGGAGTTCTTCAATACCAAATCGGAAAGATATGGGCGGTACTTGGTGAAGAAGTTTTAGATGACGTTAAAAATGCTTTGAACTTCATTTCAAATGGTTCGGATACTATTAAAACTTTATCTGGTTGGATGCAAAAAACAAGGAGTCAAATAGATACTGTAAGACGTATAGCAAACAATGCACGTACGGGATTGGATACTTTACGAGAAGCACAAAATACACTAAAGGAAGCAAATGATATTCTTGGCTCAGTATCAGACATGCATGAAGATTGGCTTAAAGGTATTGACAAATCTTTAAAAAATCACAGTCAGTCTATTGCTGACTACAAGAAAAGTATAGATTTTTTACATAGTGCTATGGACGTACATGATGGAAGCATAAGGAACTTACTTAATGCTAACAATAACTTACCAGGAACTATTAAAGCATTTATAAAGTCCTTTGTAAAACCTGGTGCTCTAACATTTAGGTCTTTGAGAGCAAGAGCATTGAAATCAAGAGATGCAGAAACTCCAACAGAACCTACAGAAGGAACTGAAACAACAGAAACTCCAGAAGAACCACCAAAACCAACAGCTAATGAAATATTGTTCGAATATTTTCCAAGGTACTCTGTTCTCATTGCATACATTCAAGAAATACTTAAGAAAGCAGACTTGACTTTAGGAGATGATGAAAGTTCTGTATATCTTTCGTTCCAGTTTCAAATAGCAGAACTTTTGAGACAGATATGCTTAATGTATGACAACATCTCTGATTTCACAAGATATGATGACGACCATGACCCCGAACACGGTGAAGAAGAAGTTTTACAAACATCCATTAAGACAGGAAAGGTTTTAACACAAAGTCTCATTATTGACACCAAAGATGGTGAAGTGGATGTTCTTCAAGAGCTGAAGAAAAATACTTCTGAAGGAGGTGGTGGTAGGCATGAACTTGAAATAAATGAGATAGAAGAGAAATTAGCCGAAAAGGCAGATAAAAACCATGTTCATTATATAAGTTCAGATGAACAGATTATAACGGATTATCATGGATATCTAACACAGGATGAAGAAGTGAAGACGAAAGATGTTAATGAAAGAAGATATAAATTCATTCGTGCTAAAGGTTATGACATACGCTGTACTGTACAGTATGACACAGGTAAAGCACCAGAAGCATTTGGTTATAACAATGAAATTTATGCTTCATACTTCTTTGTTAACGGTGTATTAGTTGAACCAAGATTTACATTGAGAATAAGTAGAAAAATAACGTTTGAAGATGCTATTAAAAGTAAAGCTGACAAAGATGAACTTGACGCAACGAACAAAGTTTTGAAATCTCATAAACACAATATCTCCGATATAAATGAACTTCAGGCTACGTTAGATAAAAAAGCAGATAAAGAACATACACATGAATCCTTCACTACTGTTAGAGCAGACGACATAATATTGAACTATACCCTTGGTTCAAGTGCACCTTTAGAGAATCCAAGTACAAGCGTAAAAGATACACTAAACTCCTTAAATAACAAATGTATGAATATCGAAGGTCATGTCAGAAACTTTGAAACACATGAACTACCAGCAATGTTAGATAAGAAAGCTGACAAAGAACATACACATAACTCCTTCTCAACTGTTAGAGCAGACGACATAATATTGAACTATACTTTAGGTTCAAGTGCACCTTTAGAGAATCCAAGTACAAGCGTAAAAGATACACTAAACTCCTTAGATAACAGATGTATGAACATTGAAGGTCATGCCAGAAACTTTGAAGCATATGAACTACCAACAATGTTAGATAAGAAAGCAGACAAAACAGAGCTTCAAACAATGAAGACTGAAATATTTCAAACCATATATCCTGTTGGTTCTATTTATACGTCAATGAACTCAACAAATCCAGCAAGTGTTTTAGGTTTTGGTGAATGGAAGCAGATTGTAGACAAATTCTTATACTGTGCTAAATATTCAAAGCAAACAGGAGGCTCAAAGAAAATTAAAGAAGCAAACCTTCCACCGCACACTCATACAGGAACGACAAACTTTTCTGGCGACCATATACACTCATTAAGAGACCATCCATTATACAACTCAGAATATGAAGCTGGCAATGACGTTTTATCTCCATCTTATAACAATTCAGCAAAAAAGACTTTTCGACAAACTGAACCAGGAGGAAATCATTCACACACTTTCACAACAAATCCAACAGGCTCGGGTGCAGATTATATGCCACCATTTGTGACTGTATTCGCATGGTACCGCGTTCAATGAACGCGCTTGAGCCTAGAATAAAATCTTTAACTTTTCATAAATGAGCATGAAAGAAGTATTCGAACAACATCCATGGAGGTCATTTAAGAAGTTCAATGAAGCTGCAAAAAGTTGGGGATTTACTAACAGAGCTGAAGTGAAAAGGTTCTTTGACAAAAATGTTGTACATCAAACAAAAATAAACCCTTACGACTACTTTTTACCAATTTACTCCAACACTCCTGACGCATACCAATTTGACACTCTCATTCAAAGCAGAAAAGGAGGACATAAACCATTCCTCATCTTCATTAATGTTAACACTCGCAAAGCATATGCATATCCAATGAGGAATAAAGGAACTCGTGAAGTGTTAAGAGTTTTACAAAAGTTTGTAGCAGAACATAGCCCAAGTACTTTAACATCAGACCAAGACAGTGCATACCTCAGCAATGAAATCACAGATTTTCTCATTAAGCATAACATAACTCACTACACTACTGAAGACCATAACCATAACATACTCGGCATCATAAACCGCTTCATAAGGACTCTCAGAGATTTAAATCAAGAGCGAGACTTTACCGAAGAAACAATGAAACATTTTCTCGAAGTATATAATTCCTCAACACATTCTACAACAGGACATACACCAAATTCAATGACACAACAACAAGAAGAAAAGTATATACAAAAGAAACGAAGTCAAACACAAAATATCAGAAATTCAACACAATTTACCCTCATTCCTGGTACAAAAGTTCGTGTAGTTCTTGACGACAAACCGTTGACAAAGAAACGTTTAAGGTTAAGTCGAAATTATTATATCGTAGACTCTACGCAAGGTAATGGATATCTTATAAAAGCTGCCGACGACTCTATTGCGTTTTATCCTCGTCATAAATTAGTCGAAAGTAGTAATGGCAAACTTGCTGAAACCATTGACGAAGCAAAGCGAGGAGTGGTTATTGAAATACTTGGCTATAATATAAACGATGACACTTATAAAGTAAGATATGAAGGAGGTGTTGAAGATGTTATACCATCTAAGAACTTGAGAGAGTCAAAGCCAACACATCTGGGACCATTAGAGCGGGAGTACTGGAAAGACAAAAATATGCCAGAAAGAATAAGAAAATTCTTCTAAACTAAATATATTTTATGTCTGAAGTTAATTAGTTAATAATGTAGCGGATGAACTGCAGAAATATATTTTAGGGTAGATGGTTAGATCTAACCCGATATCTAACCTCATTTCTACCCCCATGAATTTTCATGAATTTCCTTAAGATAGAAAAAATAAAGTTAGTTTTATTTTTATTTATTTTTTTATTTTGTATGTAAGAACAGAAATGTCAACATTAGAGAACACAACAACTGCTATCGTTCATGAAGCCATAAATGAAGAATACGAATACATACAGTATAACAAACAATTGAGACTCATTCGTTCAGTCAAAGATGACATGTACCAAATGCAAAGTATAATGAACGCTCTTCGTTCTACAAAGCAAGCATATCATTGGTTTGAAAACCAACAGACAAAAGAACTTTTAGAAGAATTTCCTCATAGGATTGCTTCCCTCGGAAAACCGAGAGAAGAGATTCCGTACGAAAATCGCAAGAATTTGGCTCCTGGTTTGAAAGGTTATTATGTTCATAGACTTTTAGTAAACGCTGTAGCAATGTGGGCTTCACCTCGTTATGCTTGTTATATTTTCATGATGTTAGATGAACTATATAAAGCAGAACGTGGAGAGATGGAAAAGAAACTTCAAGCAAAAGATGAAGTCATTGAATCCAAAGACAAAAGCATACAGAAAAGCATACCGCGTTCAGTACCAAAAGGAAAGGAAAAGAGTTATAAGTATATGATATATACTGAAGAGTTGGAGAAAGAAGAAGATAAAGATATGGTTATGTTACATTTAGTCAGAAGAAACAACAAGAGCTTTTATGACTTAGCTAAGATATATAAATCTGACAGAAACTGGTTCTATCGTGAAAACTTACCGATTTCAATGACACCGAATGAGCAAATAAAGGAAATTGTCAAAAATACTCTTCCTCAAACACACTATGACATCAAAGGTTGTACAATACTTACATTCAAAGAAGACTTAACATTATTGAAGGAAAAAATAACAGAATATTTCGATAACTTCAAAGAGGAAGAATAAAAAAATCTAAGCTAATTTTATTTTTTTTTATAAAATATTATCTCATATGAAAGAACATGAATTTAGAATATTCGGAACTCATGACAGAAGAAGAGAACGAACAACATGTAAAAGATTATGCAAAATTTCTGAAGACATACAAAGCATTTAAACAATATCTAAATGCTTCTAAAGATTATGCAAAATTTCTGAAGGTATATAAAGCTTATGAAAAAGCGTATGAAAAGTTTATACATTGGGGAATTGTTGTAAAATATCCATATGAAGACTAACCAAAAATATATTTTTGCTTAAATAGCTTCAGGGTCTATTTCTTCAACCATTTCACTTCCTTCGTCAATGTCAATAGAAGCTTCTTCAACCTTTGGTAAGAATTTCTGTATAACATCTTTTTTTGTTATTGTTTTCAGAGATGAAGGATAATATTTCACATTTGTTTCACCTTTCTTATATTCTTTCTGTTCGGAAAGATTTAAAGCAATACTGAAGAAGTCAACGTTAGAGTTCTTTATAACAGTATAGTGTGTATCTTTGACATTCACGAAGAAACCCTTTTGTTTCAAAACTACTGCTAACTCTTGTGAAGTATAACGTTTGCGGTCAATGACGATAGCTAATGGTCTGACATACTGACCGAACTTAGATTCTTTCACAAACTTCTTGTTAAAGATAACATTAACGTTTGCAGCAACATTGAACTCATTCTTGATGGCAGTAGCAAGAGCATTGTATGAAAAGAACTTGCAATCTTGCATGTGTTTCATTAAAATAAAAATATTAAATTATTTTGAAAAATAACTTAAAAAAATCTAATCTAATTTTTTCAAAAAATATTTTTTATTTCCTACTAAAGATGTATCGGAAGTTGTCTAAGTTAGAACACTCGGAAATAAAACAACTTCTTACAGAAGCTAATATAGATGTTGCAAAGCATTACGCAACAAACAAAAAAGCACTCGCTGACTTCATTAAAGACTACAATGGTGCAATAAGTTATGATAGAATTCATGAGTTCATAAAGCCGCAACGCGGCGAGGACGAAGTCCATGCAAGAGCATTTCCTTTAAATGACGTTGCTATTGACTTATATCATAGACGTTCAGTACCTCATGAAGTAAGAAGAGAAATGTTTGACATAACAAATGCAAACGTCGGTGAAACAAGAAGAAGAGACGACACACTGAAACAACAGAGAAGAGAGATGTTTAAGAGCGCTATAGAACAAGTTCGCAAAGCTAACGATGTCCTTCGTTCCATTGACGACAAACCAAAAGAAGGTGAGAGATGGTTAAAGAAAGATGAAGAGAATAGGAAGAGGAATGTTAAGACAGGCAATAGACTCATTGACTTTAACATCGAAGCTTTAGATGAACCAAACAGAGACTACTTACACAAACATTTCGGTAAGGTTTTCATGAGACTCTTAGAGAAGATTAAAATAAACTCCCAACAAAGATGGATGGTATGTTATAAACTTGGTGGAAAGTATGAATGTTCTACGTTAAACCTCAATAATATTGGAACATTACTACATCAGCTCTTGAAGGAGAACTTTATATCAGAGATAGAAGCAAATGCTGCAGGTATTGTTGAAATGCACTATGACTTCTTCTTGACAAACATAAAGAATCTTACTGAAATAAAGATGTATGATTTAACAGAATATGAAGGCTTAACGATGTCAGATGTAAAGAAAGGCAAACCAAAAAAGAGACCATATAGAGATGAAAGCACACTGACAAATGACCAGAAAGCCATTTTGGAAGCTCTTAAGCAAACAGGAAACCCAGCACTTATAGAAAGCTTTTGGAAAGATAATGGTGAAAAGAAGTTTTATAAGAAGAGAAGCGGTCAGTTCTGGAAGTATCTTTGCACATTACCTATAAATCTTGAACGCTACCAAATCTTCAATGAATTGAACAAAAGAACTGCAGCACTTATGACAGAGGACAATTGTTTCGTTTATGCTTGCATTCAGGCTGGAGTAAATGAAGAAACTATTGACCACATGAGAGAAGTCATTCGTGTTAGAGACTTTCCTCAAAGTAAAGTACAAGAAATTTCTGACGCAACAGGTATAGCATTTAATGTTACCATTGGTTATTTCAATGACTCAAGACATAATGAAATAAAGAGATACATACCAAAAGAATGTGAAACTGTTAGAACTATTGACTTACTTCTTGTTGAAGACCACTACATGCTAAATGAAAGACTTCCAATGACAACATATTTCATTCGCAACTATATAGAAATCTTGAAGGAGTGTGGTGGAATGAACATTGAGAAACAGATGAAGATTTATACAAAGAGAGAGAACAAATATGTAGTTCGTTATGATAGAACAACACCGTTATGGGATGTTATGAAAACATTGTGGGAGTGCAAATATTTCGAACCTATTTCTTATGGAGAACTTTTCACATATACGACTGACTTATATAAACAGAACCTTGCACCATTTAAAGATTTGACATATGCTCCAAAGTATTGTGTACAACTGAAGAAGAAAGCCGAGTCAAAAGAAGTAAATAAAAATAAGTGCAAGTTCATTCCTGAGCACGTTTTCTTTGCTGACTTTGAGTGTAGCACAGACGGCTTTCATAAAGCTTTTAACATCTGTTATGACAGTGAAGATGGTTCAGTGAGTGAAAGCATTTGGGGTCAGAATTGTGCAACAGAATTTTTGGAAGACTTCCTGACAAGAGTTTAGTATATTTCATAACCTCAGCTATGACATAAACTTTATCTTAAGACACATGACAGAAGTGAAAGGAACTCCCATCATTAAAGGTTCACGAACAATGCAAATAACTGGCTTATATAAAGGAAGGACAATTATTATAAAAGACTCTTACAGTGTTATAAATAAGAAGCTTAAACTATTTCCTGCTATGTTTAACTTACAAACAGGACCGAAAGAAGTATTTCCATACAACTACTACAGCAGTGTTTTGTTAGCAAATGACAACAGAACTGGTGTCATTTCTGAAGCATGTAAGTTTATCCGGGATGCGGATACATTCATGAAAAACATAGATTCCATCAAAGGTTGCAGAATAGATGAAAACCATTTCGATTTAGAAAAATATAGCTCATTTTATTGCAAACAGGACGTAAGGATTTTAAAAGAAGGTTTTGTTAAGTTCAGAAATGACTTATTGAAAGAATTTGATTTAAACGTATATGACTACGTTAGCATTTGTTCAATTGCTAACAAATTATTTGAGAACAGAGTGTACTTCCCGAATGGAAATTTATATGACCTCTCAAATAAACCAAGAGAGTTTATTTCACGCTGTATTCAAGGTGGAAGATGTATGCTGTCAGATAACATGAAACAAAAGAGCGAAAAGAAACTCATTGCTGACTTCGACGCTGTTTCATTATATCCATCCGCTATAGCAAGACTTTATACTTTAGAAGGAATTCCAAAGGTTATGAAGAAAGAAATGTTAAGCACAGAGTATCTCATGAGACATTTATTCGATGATGACCAAAAGGAACCCATTGGTGAAAAGTTTATGTCTGGCTTCTTTGTTCTCATTAAGATAACAGAGATTGGAATACATAGACACTTTCCTTTAATAGTTTGTGACCCTGAACTAAATCCAGAACTTAACGTTCCCAGAAGTTCAAACACTTGCTGTTTAATGTATGTTGACCATATAACATTACAAGACCTCATAAAATATCAAGGTGTCAAATGTGAAGTGTTGCAAGGATACTATTACGATGGAAACAGAGATATTAGAATAAGAGATGAAGTAAAGAAGTTGTTTGAGTTAAGGTTAAAGTATAAGAAAGAAGGAAATCCTTTGCAAGAAAATATAAAGCTCATTCTGAACAGTATTTATGGCAAAACTATTCTATCTCCTATTGAGTCAAAAATAACCATAGTAAATGACAAAGATGCTATAAGATATGCCATCAGAAACTACAACCATATAGTGAAGTTCGAAGGTTTGGATGGTTCAGATAAAACTATTTTCAAGCTAACGAAAAGCATTTGCAGACACTTTAACTTCTGTCCACTTGGTGTTAACATTCTGTCTATGTCGAAGAGAATAATGTGTGAAGTATTCTGTACTGCTGAAGATATGGGACTTCAAATATTTTACCAGGACTGTGATAGCATGCATATTTTCAATGAAGACATACCAAAGCTTGCAGCAGAGTTTAAGAAGAGATACGGTCGCGAACTTATAGGAAAGAACCTTGGTCAATTTCATTCTGACTTCGCAGAAATAACACCTGGAAAACAAAGTTTAGCATACAAGTCAATATTTTGTGGAAAGAAGACCTACATAGACTTACTCACTAACGATTTAAATGAAGTTGCATTCCATGCACGTTGTAAAGGTGTAAAACAAGACGTTCTTGCTTTAACAGCTAATGAAATGTTTCCTGAAGCTATACAATGCTATTACAATGAAGATAAGAACATTCACATACCTGTTGGAACATATGACAAAGACTCTGAGTTCAGTTTAATGAAACTTTACAAAGCACTTTATGACGGTCAAGAGATTGGATTTGACTTATGTAAGTCATGTCAACCTTGCTTTGAAGAAGTTTAACTTCTCAATAACGACTAAAACAAGCTTTATTCGTAAGTTGAAGTTCTGAGGTCATTTATTTTTGTCAGCAATGAGGTCATTCGTGATAAAAATAAGCCGCTAGCGGCAAGGGCGAAGCCCATGAGGTCATATATTTTTGTCATTTATGTATAACCATTGTCTCTCTTAAACTTTGCAATAGACAGCTTTGTTCTTCTTCCTTCTACATCTGTAATGTTTATATAATCTTTGTTATACTGTCTTAAGACATTCATTCGTCTGTATTGAGTTCCCATGAAATAGTAAAAGGCATCTTCACTTGGGACATAGTAGTAGTTCTCTAACGTGTGATATGAGTATTGTATAATTTCAACAGCGTCTTCAGGAAGAGAGTCAACAATGTCAAACCAATAGCCATTTGAACCAGAAATATTTCTCATGTTTTCTCTTCTTGTCGTCCATCTTAAGTTCGAGATATGAAAGTCTCCTCTGTCTCTGTTTATATGGTCTACTTCACGAAGTCCTTCAGGGTTCGGAATGAAAGTTTCTGCAACTATTCTATGTTTCATCAGCTTGTGTTTGTTTAAATTTACACAAATATAACCATCTCCTTGGTCAAACTCACTAACAACTCTTTTATTGCTTATACGTCTAATTGGATAAGGGTACTCTGAAAAGATTTCATAGTCATTGTCATGTTCGAGTGTTTGCCAATGTCCTTCACCTTCCATGCCTTTCACTCAAATAAAATTTTCAGAAAAAAATAAAACTAGCGTAGATTTTACAATACTGCGATGGTAGAGTTTAAGAGTTGTGCTTCAATATAGAGACAGTCCTTATGGTCTGGAGGTAAGAACACTGGGCAGTTATGGTCATGAGTGGAGAACATGTCTATCCAAAACTCACGATTGAAGCCAGTTAATTTATAGTATTTAGGGTTAGGAAGTGGTGAATTTCTTGTATGACCAATGAACTCATTTTCAACTCCTTACTTAAGTTTGAATATAATATGCTTGTTTTCTATCCCAAATGCCAGGTGTTACAATCTTTGAAAATTCATTTTTCCTCGGAAGCATTGCATCATAATTGAAAACATTCTTGAAATCATCACTTGGTTCAGAGATTTGAAATCTTATACGTAATGGATTTTCTTTCTTTTTAGCTACTTCATTGAATGGTGAATATATAACAAACTGACAGTCATGAGTTCCATCTTCATTTTCATTAAATTCATAATGAAAGTCTATAAGTTGTGGCTGACTACCTTCTTCTTTCAGTTGTGCAAGAAACTCACGTAAAGGCTGTAAAGTTTGTACTTCAATGTTGAACTTTTTCTCGAACATCTCATTAAATGAAATCATACATTGTTGCAATGTTGTATTGTCTTTAAAGTATTTGTATATGTGAATGTTTTGGGCGTTTAAAGACTGTTCGTCATTTTCTATCTCGACTTGAAGTATAAAGTCAACTTTCCTAAATGCATGTGTTATATACATAGATGTTATGCCAATGTACTTCTCTTCATTTATGTTCACAATCCAGTCTGTTGGAAACTTAAACGTTACTCTGTTCTCCTTTATTTTGACGTCAGGGTTTTCACTACTGAACGCAACAGATAAAGGTATTTGTCTATACATTTAATTCAGATAAAAATAAACCATTTACTCTTTCTTTGCTTCAGCTTCTTTAGCTTTTGCTTCAGCTTCTTCTCTAGCTTTCTTCGCCAGCAAACGTGGGTTCTTTTGTCTTCCAGCAGCTAATGCAGCAAGTTGTTTTTCACTAAGTTTTCTCTTTGGTCTCTCTGGCTTTTGTTCTTGTTTTTGTTCCTTCAGTTCGGATAAAATTTGCTCACGAATTTCTTTCTTCAATGCTTCAAAATCTATGACCCCTTGGGTCTTGTCCGTAGGACTTGTCTGAGTCATTTGACTGCAGATAAAAAACAAAATTAAAACTTTAACTGATGTAAAATGAGCTTGTCAAAATCAGAGCGAGAGTCTATTATATTAAATGACGCAAGAGGAATACAACATCCTTTCTATTACGTAAGTCAGAGTAAAGATGGTAAAATATACGTAAGAAAAAGAAAGGTTCCATTAGCGAATGCAGAAAGCGACAACATTAAGGTGCATGGCACCGAGGGCGAAGCCCACGAAGCCCATATAAAACCTTCTGTTCAAACTGAAAAGTCAATAGAACCAGAAGAAAAGAAGCCAGATGTACTTTCAATAACGAACCAAGAGCTTATTGCAAAGTTCGTGAATTTCATTGAAAAACAAACCGAGTCAAAGAATCCTGACCCGCCAGGGAAAGAAGTTGAGACAAAAGAGAATGTACAGTTCATTGAAAATGTCAAGAAACAACTTCCACCACGAATGTCAAGAAGAAGAGTGAGAATAATGAAGTAAAGAGATATTTTTATCCGAAGTAAATACATGCAGAACGAACAGTTAAACGAATTTACTCCAGCAGAGCATATTCATCAGATTCGCTCATATTTTGATATCATAGACAATGCAGTTCAAATTGGTGACACTAATAGAAAATATTCTGACGCAAAGATTCCATCACAACCTGGAACTGCTAAAGATAACACATGGGTAACATTCAATCTCTCACCTCCTGGTGAAAATATGTTGGACCTTTACAATACATTCATTACGTATAAGATGGAAGGTCAATTTATTGTAGATAAAGAAATTGGTTCAGGTTCCAATAAAACAAACCCACCAGGATTTTGGATTGGTTTCGATGACGCTTTCTATGCAGTTGCTGGATATCAAATCCTTGCAAATGGTCGTATCGTATATTCTCAAGACAACGCAAGAGAAGAAGCATATATAACTTCAAACTCACAAACTACCGAACAAATAAAGAAAGTAGATGTTTTCTCAAAGACTCGACATGAAGATGTATGGAGTCATTCGGGAACATGCAGAACAGGACAAATTGTTAGTGGTCCAATTACAGCAGGAAAATCATTTGATTTTAAGCTTCGTTTAAGAATTCCTGTTAGAAGATTCCTTCCATTAGAAGCTTTGATTTATTCCAGCTTTTGCAGGAAACATTCAGCTTAAAGTAAAGTTCAGTAGCGACGCCTTACAATGCACATCTATATCTGTAAATGATATCATTGCTTTCAATCCAACTCTTAAAGTTGCATTTGCTTCAGATTCAAATCCACCGACAAATAAATTTGTTCCATGGAATGAACCATTCACTATGATAACGAAGGCAGTAGAAGCTAGTGGAACAGTTACTATTACAACTGTAAACCAGCAACTATTTCGAACAAAGATGGATTTTAATGAATGTTTCATTCATCCAAAGTCATTCTCTTTAGACCCTAACATTTATACAGAACTTGTAGAACATTATACAAACGAGGCTTTATGTTTTCCTGTTAAAGTTATGGATTGGATTCCTATGGACGGTTCATTCTCAAAGAATACAGATAGTTCAAGTGCAACATTTACAGCAGCTTATACGCCTATTAATGTTAAAAGTATTTGGGCACTATTTAGAAAGAAAGACAACTATTATGTTAATTTTGAGAACCCTAAGTTTAAATATCTTCAGCTTTCCATGGGAGCTTATGGAAATATGCCTGCAGAACCTGAAAAATCATATGGACCTGTATTTTATGAAATGGTTGCGAACGCTTGCAATACAAACAATGATATGATAGGATTTAATGAAGATGTTATGAGGTCATTGGTGGATGATGGTAGTGTGGAACATAAATGGGATAGCTATGACAACACACATTTCTTATGTGGTTTTCCAACAGAAGTGGACTTTTGCTTCCAGCAAGGTCAAACATCTACTGCTCCAATAACATACAAATTGTCTGTTAAAGGACCTATTGAACTAGCAACTGAAAACGTACCAAAGCCACTTATTGGATTTATGAGGGATTGTTGTTTTGCCATTCAGGTAAGACAGTCAGGCATCCCAATAATAAGATTAGATGACTATAACTTAGCTACGGACGACAGTGAGGAATAAAGGATGAACGTTTATTTTTAAAGCTTATAAATGAGTTCTTCATCAAGCTCTCGTGAACCTTCACCATCTATGAAACAAACTTTACCAAACGATTATGGAGCACCTATTGAATATTTCTTACGAGCTGCACAATGGCAAAGAGCAGTCTCACCAAGGTTAGGTGTTCCACCAGCTCCTGTCAAAAATAGCATTTGGTCAAGTCCTTATATAAGATATGGTCTCCCACTAGGTTTGCTAGCTACAGCAGGAGCAGTTATGATGTTGAAAAGAAATAAAGCAAATGTTGTAAATAATACTGAAGTAGCTGAAGTTAAACAAACTCCAACGCCTTCACAAGCAAAACCTTCAATGACTCCTGAACCTATGGAAGTACAAACTCCTGTTCAAAAGTCAACTCCTAAACCGACTCCAACATTTAAACCAGAACCTACTCCTCAAATAAATCGTAAAACTCCTGCGTTTCCTTACTGAAAAAATAACGTTATTTTTATTTAATATTAAAATTTTTATTTGATTGAAATGACGACTAAAGTCACTGAAGCAATGAAACAAAAGTTTTTGGTAGAATACATTAAATCAGGAACTATTCCAGAAGGTTTTTACATTCATACTATGAAGGATGGTAGAGTTCAGTTTAGAAAGATAAAGCAACCATTAGATAAAGAAGGAATTTTGAGAAAGATTAAACTTCATGAGGACAACATTGCTGAACTTAGGAAGAAGTTAGAAGAGTTGGAGAAAGGAAGAGAGTTATAAAGCAATGAATTCAACAGGGTGAGAAAAGAGGTGAAAAAAGAGGTGAGATCTCACCACTTCACCTAAATTTATTTTTGTGCTATGTTTTCATACGTGTGGGAGTGGTGATATCATTAATTTTTAAGTTTATTTTTTAAAATTATTTTTTATTTTATTTTGGATGTAATGACGAAAACTATTGAGATAACAAACTACAACGATCATGAGTTCAAGAATTTGTTCTTCGTTCCTCGTGAAAATACATTCTATCAGATACGAGGGAGAAAGGGTAAAGTTAGTTTGAGCGTTTATGAAGGAATGAAGAATGGAAAGTTTATACAAGCAATAGATACAAACGGTAAGCGTGTTTCATTAGCTTTGTCAAAACTTACTAACATTTATTTTGACAGTGACTTTGACCTATATGAAGAAGAAAGTGAGTCAGAAGATTATGAGCTGTTATGTGAAGCACAGCAATGGGAGGAGTTGCAATACTTTTGTAAGTGAGAACGTTTATTTTTTACAGTAGTGAAGTCGTTTGTGAAAACGTTAGTGAGGTGAAGTGGTTGGTGGCTTTATAAATATTTAAGGCTAAGTTAGTGTTGTCGTTCGTGTTGTAAAATATACGTTAACGGTTTCGTAAAGTGTCAAATTCACATATAATGGGTAAGGAGGCGCGCAGTGCCTCCGTACACATGATATGTATACTAACTAATTTTCTGGACTTATTATAAACTTCCCTGACCAATGAATCTTTAATTAATGGGTTTTCATCAGTACCAACAGCAAGTTCTGTCATAAATTTTTTAATCTGCTGAAAAGTGCCGTTGTCTTCAGAAAATTTTGCCATTGCCTTATTGTATATTTCTGTCAGAGTCATTGATTTATGAAGATCATTTTTTTCATTTTGTAACTTTAGTTAGTATAACTAAGTCGTGTACTGAGGCACTGCGTTCCACCATACGCAATACTTGTGAATTTGACACTTTACAAAACCGTTAATGTATATTTTACAACACAAACACAAACACCAACTTAACCTTAAATATTTATAAAGCCGCCAACCACTTCACCTTACTACTGTAAAAATAAACGTTCTCATTTACAAAAGTATTGCAGCGCTTCCCATTGCTGTGCTTCACACAATAGTTCATATTCTTCAGTATCGCTGCTGTCACTCCAATCGTCAGAGTCAAAGTCACTGTCAAAATAAATGTTAGTAAGTTTTGACAAAGCTAATGAAACACGCTTACCGTTTGTATCTATTGCTTGTATAAACTTTCCATTCTTCATTCCTTCATAAACGCTCAAACTAACTTTACCCTTTCTCCCTCGTATCTGATAGAATGTATTTTCACGAGGAACGAAGAACAAATTCTTGAACTCATGACCGTTGTAGTTTGTTATCTCAATAGTTTTCGTCATTTACATCCAAATAAAATAAAAAATAAACTTAAAAATTAATGATATCACCACCCTCACACGTATGAAAACATAGCGCAAAAATAAATTTAGGTGAAGCGGTGAGATCTCACCTCTTTTTTCACCTGTTTTTTCACCCACTTGAATTCATTGCTTTATAACTCTCTTCCTTTCTCCAACTCTTCTAACTTCTTCTTAAGTTCAGCAATGTTGTCCTCATGAAGTTTAATCTTTCTCAAAATTCCTTCTTTATCTAATGGTTGCTTTATCTTTCTAAACTGAACTCTACCATCCTTCATAGTATGAATGTAAAAACCTTCCGGAATAGTTCCTGATTTAATGTATTCTACCAAAAACTTTTGTTTCATTGCTTCAGTGACTTTATTTGTCATTTTACTCTAAGGTGAAGCTAGCACAGCGATAATGGATTTCATGACTTTTAGTATTTCATGCAATCTTAACAGATAGCCTTACAAGTACTTCCAGTGTCCCTAGCTGTCCATCCTTTTTATATAACTCCATGACATTTATAATCTCGCGAAACTTAACAGGTAGCATAACAGATTAAAATCAGATGAGGTTTTGAACCAAAATTTCTAAGCAACGTTGTCAAGGATTTTGAGGAACTAGGGACAGAGTGTGGCAAAGTCCAAGATTTAATTTATCTTCACCTGTTTCATCAACTATCTCATCTAATATGCCAATATTTTATTCATAACTCGTGGCAAACTCACTAACTTTCGTTATGTTCATCTGCATGCTTCATCTGATAGAAAGTATGACTTTCATTAACTCTGTGAGATAATGAAAACTACTAGGGACAGAGACCATGGCAAAGTTTATGACTTTCATTATTTCCAGAACTTAATGAAAACTACTAGGGACAGAGACCATGGCAAAGTTCATGATTTAATTTATTCTCTCACTAACTTCAGCACAAACTCCAACACTAACGACAAGTACTAACTCCAACACTAACGACAAACACTAACAACAAACACAAATGACAAACACTAACATCAAGTACTAACTTCAGCACAAATGACAAACACAAACTCCAACACAAATGACAAACACTAACGACAAAAATAAATGTCCTCACTTCTTAACAAAGTAATATGTGCTTCTTACACCACCATAACTCAAACGTTTCTTTTCAAACATCGATTGAAACTTATTTTGAGCCATTGGCTTTAGTCTCTTTTTCTTCAAATACGCCAAGAAATCTTCTTCACATCTTTTCACTTCATAGCCTTCTTTAAACTCCTCCTTGTTAAGTTCTATGAAATCCTTTATATCATTCTTTGTTGCAATGGCTTCTTCACGAACGACATCGTGAACTATTTCATCATTGCATTCATGTATGACCTCCTCACTGTTCTCATGAACTATTTCATCACTGTTCTCATGTATGACCTCCTCACTGTTCTCGTGAACTATTTCATCATTGCATTCATGTATGACCTCCTCACTGTTCTCATGAACTATTTCAACACTGTTCTCATGAACGACCTCCTTACTGTCTTTCATAAGCGTTTCAAAGTCTCCTTTACTCATTACTTCAATCTCATGCTGTTCACAATAGTACTTAAACTCACTGTATATGTCTTTGTTGTATGTTATATTGCTTCCCATGTACTCCATGAATTTTTCAAGCACTTCCTCATAATTCACTGTTTCTTTCTTTCCACGACCTTCTAATATCATACTTGCTTCATAAATATAACTTCTTGCAGAACCGTCTCGCTTTCTACTTCTCTTCACAAATTCTCTCATCTTGCCACCAAATACATTTGAACTACATGCAAAGAATTCATTCTCCTTCGCAAATTCTTTATATCTTCTGTAGCACTCTGTACAATTCCATCCGGATACAAACTTTTCATAGAACTCCTCGTAAAACATTTGGTAAGGTGTTTTGTTCATTTCGATGAGTTCTTGTTTAGCCCTGGTGAATGGTATCTTCCTTACATCAAATTCACTTAAATCTTTCCTCATGAAGTACGTCAGTAAGTTTGAATAAAACTCTTCATTAAAGCTTTCAATGAGATTTGAGAAATATTCGTAATTTCCTTTGTATCTGCTGCTTACGTCAATGACAACAAATCTTCTGTCGTCTTTATCAATCTTTACTGAGTTGAAGTTGTTAGATATCATGATGATATTACAAACATTCTCTATCTTTCTTACTGGCTGACACTTCTGATTTAAGTCCAACTGAGTCTCTGTTACTATTGACTTTAGTGCGTCGTGGTTCATGACCTTAGACGTATCGCATGAGCTTAGTTCATTGCATACGATGAGCTTCATGTTCTCAATAGCAGCATTGAATCTACCAACCACATTCTCTATTGCCGTTATATTATTGTTGGCGTACTTGCTAATGAGCTCGCATAGAACATTACTAAGTACATTCTTACCAGTTCCTTGCTTTCCTATTAACAAAAGTACTGTTCCAGTCTTTCCACAAGGATTTTGAACGATGTAGGCGAACCAGTTCAAAACATACTCATAAAGCTCTTCATCCTCATTACATATGACATCGTGAACATGTTTCAAATATCCTTCAATAACGTTCTCATCTACTTCATTCAGTACCTCATACTCATATCCTCTGAAATAGCTGTAAATGTCATCTCTTTCGTCAAAGAATCTCATGCCTGACTTCATAAGATAGTTCTTGTTCTGACCCGCTTCATAAATCATCAGTGCGTTCACATCCTTCTCCTCAATACGTCCTACATAAATACTCTTCATGAGCTTATTGAATTCCTTGCTATCTATTGATACAAGTGTTGTTGTGTCTCGTATTCCATCATAATCTTTCACTAGATATGTCATACGTGCTCCGTCAATAACGACAACACATCTTCTTAAGTCATTTATAACACTAACTATGTCAATACCTTCTTCACTCATGTACTTATTTCTTCTCAAGTCCTTTAGTGTGAAAGTGTCTCTAAGTTCTATTTCAAGCAATTCATTTACACATCCTTTGCAATACTTCTCTATAAAATATTTCTGTCGTTCTTTACTAAGTTTTTTAACAGCTCTGAAGAACCATGTGTTTTGACTCAAACATCCTTCACAACTTCTCTCATTCATTCCTAGTTCTTTCATGTCATTATCTTCAACCTCTATGGTCTCATTGAGTAAGGTCAAAGGGTTCTTAGTCATTGCTGGTCTTATCTGAAACAATGTTTGTGCAACAGGTTTAACTAGTTCAGCAACGTCCTTCCTTAATATGACTAGCTGTTTCCACTCATCTTTGCTAACAGTTCTTTCATAACCACTGACAGTAATGATTTCATTTGCTGACCTTAGACACTTATGTTCTATCATTTGTATTGCTTTTGTGTAAGGCTTTCGTGAGCATAGGTTGTATATGTCATTCCTGCAATGTTCATTCATGCCAATAGTACTAAATCCTTTCTTTGCTGTTGAATGCATAATATCCATTAGTTCCTGTGTTCGTATTGCTGTCTCATAAAATACAACAAGACCTTTGTCATCTATGACGTACTTACCGAAAACATTGCTTATATTCTTTAACCATGAAATAACATCCTCATTCATGCTGTCAAACATGAAGTAAGGTCTTACATACTCTTCACTTATAAGATACTCCACAAAATACTTGTTAAGCTCTATGTCCTCGTGAGCGATTTCATTAGGTTTGATATTAGTTCCTTTTGTCATTGCTGTCATGTACTTCACTCTCATAGTTCCTTTCAATAGCGTAAAAATACTTCATTGTTTCATAACTGCTCTAAATTCTGTTCAAAATTCGTACAACATAACTTTTTAACATTAGTGAAAGAACATGAGCGAAACAACAACATCTAACATTACAGAAGAAGTCAATGACAATGCCGATGAAAACATTACAGAAGGAGCTAGTGAAAATATTGACGAGTTCAGTGAGGAAGAAGATATTGAGGACGTCAATGAGAACGTTAGTGGGGAACAAACTCAATGGGAAACATTGAGAAATCATGAAGATTATGAGATTTGTACGACATATCCTTTTACTATTCGTCGAAAGAAAAACAAACATATTAAGAGTGAATGCTTAAATAATCATGGTTATATTGAGCTTAGTTTAAACAACAAAACACATTTAAAGCATAGAATTATTGCAGAACAGTGGATTGAAAATCCAAACAATTTGAAAGAAATAGACCATATAAATCATGATAGAACGGACAACAGAATCTCAAACCTTCGTTGGTGTTCTAAATCTGAAAACAATAGAAATAAAAGCAAGTATGGCGATATAGTTTATGAGTTCGTTGATGAAATATCTGACGAAGCTGTTGAAATAACAGCTTATGGTAAGCATTCGTTTGAGTTCTACTACTATGTTGAGAATGAGGACGCATTCTATTATTATACAGGTCTTAACTATCGAAAACTTCATATAAACTTTACAAAAACAGGTGCTGCTTATGTTTGTATGATAGATACAGAAAACAAGAGAGTAATCTTATGCATAAACAAATTCAAACGCTTGTACGGCTTCATGTAGGACAAACATTATTTTTCAACACTAACGCCAACACGTAGGACAAACATTCATGACTAACATTACTGTATAACATAAATGATTTGTCATGATTTCATCGTAAATGTTTTGTCATGATTTCATCGTATATGTTTTGTCAAAACTTCTTCGTAAATGTTTTGTCATGATTTCATCGTATATGTTTTGTCATGATTTCATCGTATATGTTTTGTCATGATTTCATCGTATATGTTTTGTCATGATTTCATCGTATATGTTTTGTCATGATTTCATCGTATATGTTTTGTCATGAATTCTTCGTAAATGTTTTGTCATGATTTCATCGTATATGTTTTGTCATGATTTCATCGTAAATGTTTTGTCAAACATGAACGTATATGTTTTGTCAAAACTTCTTCGTATATGTTTTGTCATGATTTCATCGTATATGTTTTGTCATGATTTCATCGTATATGTTTTGTCATGATTTCATCGTAAATGTTTTGTCATGAATTCTTCGTATATGTTTTGTCATGATTTCATCGTAAATGTTTTGTCAAAACTTCATCGTACATGTTTTGTCATGAATTCTTCGTAAATGTTTTGTCATGATTTCATCGTAAATGTTTTGTCAAAACTTCATCGTACATGTTTTGTCATGATTTCATCGTATATGTTTTGTCATGATTTCATCGTATATGTTTTGTCATGATTTCATCGTAAATGTTTTGTCATGAATTCTTCGTATATGTTTTGTCATGATTTCATCGTAAATGTTTTGTCAAAACTTCATCGTACATGTTTTGTCATGATTTCATCGTATATGTTTTGTCATGATTTCATCGTATATGTTTTGTCATGACTTCATCGTAAATGTTTTGTCATGATTTCATCGTAAATGTTTTGTCATGAATTCTTCGTAAATGTTTTGTCATGATTTCATCGTATATGTTTTGTCAAACATGAACGTATATGTTTTGTCAAACATGAACGTATATGTTTTGTCAAAACTTCTTCGTATATGTTTTGTCATGATTTCATCGTATATGCTTTGTCATGACCTCATCGTATATGTTTTGTCATGATTTCTTCATCGTATATGCTTTGTCAAGGTTTCTTCGTAAATGTTTTGTCATGACCTCATCGTAAATGTTTTGTCATGACCTCATCGTAATGAGTGTAAATGATCCAAAAATAATGTTTATGTTAGAATGTTAGATCTAACACCTTTTCTAACATGTTTTCTAACATGACCTCATGGAACTTAAACGTATATGTTTTGTTATGACCTCATGGAACTTAAACGTATATGTTTTGTCATGACCTCATCGTAAATGTTTTGTCATGACCTCATCGTAAATGTTTTGTTATGATTTCATGGAACTTAAACGTATATGTTTTGTCAAAACTTCTTCGTAAATGTTTTGTTATGATTTCATGGAACTTAAACGTAAATGTTTTGTTATGTCCTCATCGTAAATGTTTTGTCATGATTTCATCGTAAATGTTTTGTGAAGAATATAACAACCGCCTGAATTCAGACGGTTGGTTTTTATACAAAATTCACACAGGAAAATTCTTGAGTTTTGGTTGAAAGAATACGGTCAAGCCAAAAGTGGCTCGACCTCAAAACAAACATTTTATGAGTTTACTAAGGCATTTATGAATGAATTCAAAGGTATTTGCATACATCCTGACCTCGTTCATTTTGTTGTTGAATTCAGCAAAAATAATGTTTACGTTATGACTTCATCGTATATGCTTTGTTGAACTTAAACGTAAATGTTTTGTCATGATTTCATCGTATATGTTTTGTCAAGGTTTCATCGTATATGCTTTGTCAAACATGAACGTATATGTTTTGTCATGATTTCTTCGTAAATGTTTTGTCAAGACTTCATCGTAAATGTTTTGTCATGATTTCATCGCAAATGATTTGTCATGATTTCTTCGTTTATGTTTTGTCAAAACTTCTTCGTACATGTTTTGTCATGACTTTTTCATCGTAATGAGCGTAAATCAGACAAAAATATATTTTAGGTGAAGAGGTGAGATCTCACCTCTTTTCTCACCTCTTTTCTCACCTCAGCCGCTAAGCGGCGAGACCCAAAGGGTCTTGAATTTTCATGATTTCTTCATC